TTTTACATAAAACAAACATTTTTCATAAATTATCTTCTTCCCACATGAAAACTATGAAGTCTGGTGTTTTTTTTTTTGTTTTTTTTTTTTTTTTTTTGTTAGGATTTTTTGTTTTAGGGCATTTGTTCTTGAGATTTTTGCTATAGGGCATGTGTACTTGCCAAAGAGACAGAGAAAGAGAGACAAAGTCAGAAATCACCCCCCAGGGGGGTGGCCATGCCACAATTCCTTCTCCATCTTCCTCTCGGGATTTTGGGCACCCATGCACATGTGACCAGGGTGAATTTTAAGCTGTGTACATGGGTTATATGCAAACACTATGTCATTTTATAGAAGGGATTTGAGCATTGAAGGATTTTGGTGTCTGCAGTTATATCCCCTATGGATATAACTGTATTCATTAATTCAGCGCTCACAGTGACTTTATAGAACATCACTATCGCCAATATTAAGAACTGAAATAACTTTCATTGTGCTTTATCTTAAACAACTTGGTTCATTTATTTGTCTACCTACTGTCTGATTTCTCCCAACAAACCTTCCGGAAAACAGAGACCTTACCTGGTTTGTTTACTATTATTACATCCTTAGTACCTGACATGATTGACCTTCAATACGTTTTTACTAAATGACTGAATAAATGTACAGATGAATAATGAATAAGTAAACATTTAACATTTCCTTCTAGTTATGATGTAGGCGATAAAAAGAAAATCCTAATTTAAAAATATTTGTAATATGTATTTTTAAATGTTTGAATATACCCATATTGTTTGGGTTGCCTTGAAAATACAGTAATTATCTTACCAGCTATTAGTTTTAAATAGAGTATCTCACACTTAATTCCTTTACTGTTAATTTGAGAAGGCGTCTGTTTTGCATGAGTTTTGTATTGCCTGTCCTAGAACATATGTACTTTGTTCTTTTTTATGATTGTTCCTATGTGTGTGTGTTTTAATGGTCCTTTTACTAGAAAATAGCTTTAATTTTTGTCTTTCCACTAGAATGAAGTAGAGACCATGTTTATAGGAAACATCAGATCAAAAACATTGTTTGGTTTTTTTTAAATATTTTAGCACATTCCTTAAATTATACATTCTTGCAAGTCTTGGCTATTTGGGGGGCCTCAAGGGCTTGTGCATTCGCCAGAGAGAAAGAGAGAAGGAAAGTAAGAAAGAACCCACCGGGGGAATGTCCAAACCACAATCCCTTCTCCTCTATTCATCTCTTGGGATTTGGAGCACACACATACATGAACCCAGCAGGTTTTTCTTTTCTTTTTTTAAGAGAGATTTTTTTTTTTTTCGAGAGATTTCCACGACAGGGTGTGTGCGCTCGCCAGAAAGACAGACAGAAAGCGAGAAATCACCCCCCAAGGTTGATGGCTATGCTGCAGTTCCTTCTCCTCCATTTTCCTATCAAGATCTTGGGCACACACTCACACATGCACGGCGTGAGTTTAAGCCACAGAGTCTGGGACTCGAACCGCGGTCGACCACATGGGAGTCCAGCGACATAGCCATTACACTAACTGCTGGTCCCAAAAGATTTTTGTTATAAGGCATGTATGCTCACTAGAGACACAGAAAGACAGAGACAAAGTGATTAATCCCCCCCACACCCCCAAACGGGGATGGACATGCCACAATCCCTTCTCCTCAGGATTTTGGGAATGCATGCATATGTGCTTGGCATGAGTTTCAAGTTTCCAAGTCCAAGACTCAAACTGCAGTTGACCATGTGGGAGTCCAGTGCCACAGCCACTAGGCCACCTGCTGGCCCTGCTGCTGGCCCCCACTAGGCCACCCAGTCTGGACTAGCCACATAGGATCCTGTCTTTAACTACCACACCACCAAGTGACCCACTGGGATTTTTCCCCTCTGGTTATAGGTGGTGTTGTTATTTTTATTTTTAAAGCAAACATCATAGCCTTTCTCTTTTTTTTTTTTTTTTTTTTAAAGAAAGAACTTTATGTTCTTTTGTCTGTTAAATGTTTCTCTCCTTTTTCCCTCTCACCAATTCTCCACTCCCTTCCCTTACAGTCTCTGGTATCCACTCTTACTCTCTCTACTGTCACATCTTTGGTCTTTCAATTTCTGCCAAAGAGTGCAGACACTGGCTTAAAATTTTTTTATTACAGAAAATTTCAAATATTAACAAAGTTGGAAAGATAATAGTATACTGAATGTTCATACACTTATCATGTGATCTTAAAAAATAAAGTCTATTTCTTGGAATAAGTCTCTTGACATGGTAGGATAAAATGACCCAGGAAGGCTGTTCTTGGTGCAGCTCTGGTCTAAAAAGTTCAGAAATTCAAGTGTCCCCCTGGAGGGTGGGAAGCGTTTCTTGCTAGTCCCGAATTGCTTCTTCTGTCCTTGAAGTGGAGGCTTCCAAGAGGGAGGAGAGGCTGCCTTAAAGCTGAAAAGGTGCCTGGTATCTTCACCTTAGAAATAAAAGAAAAAAATAGTTCTTAGAGTGGAGTCTAGATTGAGATTTCAAGAGTCTTACGATTTGGGGAATTATCATTTTCTTCGTATTTTAGTTTTGTTGTCAGGTTGTATTATTGTTATTGCCCTTATGGTTGTCTTGTTTGTTTTCTCATGTCTTTAGCAACAAATCAATGAAATCAAAAGAACTTGACTTAAAGGATATCTAAGAAAGAACGAGCCACTCTTCTTTGTTAGTTGGAAGGAGGACCAAATTTAAGGGTAGAGAGGGTGGTGGTGGCATCGGAGGATAAGCCTCTAAGCCTTGCTGCAGGAAAGGAAGTGTGGGCCAGGACAGAGGATGTGGCAGATGAGTTTGAAGAGCCCAAGCAGGCCTTTGGCACTACACTGAGTTCTCCCCTTCTCTTTGTTGTTCTGACTGCATTTCCTCATGCATTGCACCCCACTCTGTAACCTTTACTGTGTGATTGCCACTATCATCTTTAACTCCCAACACTACCATTTCAGGAAGACCCAAGATCTGATTGCCAAATCCAAAGATGTCCTCCTGTTTTACTTTTAGCTCATTTCCTCATGTTACACTCAATAACCTCCCCAGGATTTGACACAGCCGGCTCCTCAGGAGTAGCCTTCCTTGGAAATGGCTGGCCTCCCAGCACCTCCTGTCTCTGAGGCTGCCTCCATGTCTCTCCCTCCTCCCTCTGTCCCCTTTTCCCTCTTCCTCTTCTTCTTCTCTTCCCTTTGCCTTCACTCTCTTCCCTCCTCAGACATTCTGGTTCATGTTCTTGTTTATCCCCCTGCCTCTGCCCATTGCTCATGTGTAACACACGTGCATGCACCCCAGCCATCAGAGCCACACTCATGGCACACTCAGGTGACAACCATGTGGCCTCTCACCTTGGAGTCTTACATACCTCTTCTCACTAGGGATCATCTCTGCCTTTTCTTCCACACCGTTGCTTTGTTCATTTTCTCCAGAAAGCTTTCTCTGATGCCCTGCACTGGGATAGGATTCCCTCCTGTGTGCTCTCATAGCACCTTGAGTTCTTTCCCCAACACAGCACTTAGTGAAGCTGCATGATCTGTTTCACGGTCTGTGCTTTTTTCACTGAATTTTAAGTTCCCGAAGGGCAAGAACTGTTTTGTTTAGCGTATTTCTCCAGTACCTTGAGCAATACCTAAGCAATACAGTAGCCCCAGGAAACAAGGTATTTTGTAGGAATGAACGAGCATAGTGAAAGTGGCTATCTCTGGATAGCCAGATTGGAGAAAATGGAAATGGCATGCCCAGCGAGGAGCCTGGAAAAAGTATTCAACAAATTGTAACCATAGTCATTGTTCGCCATTGCTCTGGACTACTAAGAGTAGGAGGTTTGTTTTGCTCATGGTTGTACCCTCTTTGGAGTTTAGTAATTCACTGCACATAATAGATACTTAATATATATTATTGAATTGAATATATGCTTAATATATTAAATAAGCAGGATGTATAAGAGATTATTCTTTTTGTACCCTTGTTTAGAATAAAAGTAATGGCTATCTTTAAGACATGTTTGTTTTCCATGGAGCATAGAATTTGTCTTCTTTTCAGGCACAAATATATTTTATAATGGTAATTTTCAAGAGACCCCTATGTATTCTTTTTTTGTTGTTGTTGTTGAGAGGTTTTTGCCATAGGGCGCATGCGCTCACCAGAGAGACACAGAGAGACAAAGAGACAGAAAGCGAGAAATCACCCCCCATGGGAGATGGACACGCCACAATCCCTTCTCCTCCATTCTCCTCTCGGGATCTTGGGCACCCATGCACACATGCCCGGAGTAAATTTAAGCCACCAGGCCTGGGACTTGAACTGTGGTGGCCTACATGAGAATCCAGCGACACAGCCATTACTCCGACTACTGGTGCCAAGACCCCTATGTATTCTCTTGGCTTGTAGACAATTTGATGTTGGGCTTTACATTTTTTTTTTTTTTTTTGTATTGCCAGATATCTATAACCTGGCAATGTGAAGATTTATTTAAAAAAATTTTAAATTTTAAGCTTAAAAGAAAACATTCTATCTACATATTTTTCCTTTATTCTTAAAGACCTCTTGCCTAAAATCCCAAGCATATGTATTTATATGTTATAAGTAAACTTTTCATTTTAATCTTTGTTAGTGTTTAATCTGTGTGATGAAAAACAAATTAGAAAAATATACTTATTTCAGGGAATCAGCAGTTAGCGTAATGGCTATGTCGCTGGACTCCCACGTAGTCGACCACGGTTCACGTCCCGGATCCGGTGGCTTAAAACTCACACCGGGCACGTGTGCGTGCGTGCCCAGGATCCCGAGAGGAGAAAGGAGGAGAAGGGATTGTGGCGTGACCATCCCCCCTGGGGGGTGATTTCTTGCTTTCTGTCTCTATGTCTCTCTCTGTCTGTCTGGCGAACGCATGCGCCCTATAGCGAAAATCTCCCCCCCCCCCCCAAAAAAAAATATATATATATACTTACTTCTGAAATACCTTGTTTTCTTTGTATTTTGTGTCCCGTTTCTGGAACAGCCTCTCACTTTCATCAGGATTCTTGAAAGAAGAAAAAATGTCAGTGCTAACTCCTGGAATCCAATTTGAGACTTCAAAAGTCACCAGAAGTTCTCTTGACAGTTGTTTTCTGTTTGAAAGTAGTTGGAGGAAAGCAGTTCTAGAAACCCAAAAGATGAGAAAAGGTAACTTTATTTTTATTTAATACAGCAACAGTGCATTGAATTTACATGTATTTTTTTAAGCAGTCAAGGGACATTTCATAATTTCTGTCATATTTATATAACGGTAATATCTTAAGTTTATGGAAAAGGAAAATGAAAGCAAATTAATTCATACAATTTTGTGACATGATAGAAACAAACTTTAAAGAACCATTTTTCTTACTATTAAGTGCAGTACTGTCATTGGATGAAGGTCCTTTACATAGTGTTTCTTTTTAAATACTTCAAGTTGATATTTATATTTTAGAATACTCTAATCTTTAACAATTTCTTTGTTCATTAATAATTTCAAACAAAACATTATTTTCGAGTGAGTTATGTGCAGAATACCTTATATCCAGTGTTTACCCAATAAAGACTAGGTTTAGAATTTTTTACATGTATACATCAGTAGCTTTCCCTTCTTACTTTCAAGTTATAATTGTATTTTTTAAAGAATTATTTTGTTTAACTTTATTTATTTATTTATTTATTTATTTGTTTATTTTAATTTGACCAGAAAGGGACAGAGTGAGAGAGAGAGAGAGAGAGAGAGAGAGAGAGAGAGAGAGGGAAAGCGAGAAAGTAAGCCGCTAGGTTCAGGATTCGAACCACTGTTGGCCATGTGAGAGTTCAGCGTCCTTAGCCACCATGCCACCTGCTGACCCCATGTATTTCTTATTTATTTGGAATTTTACCTTCAGCTTTACTACTAAGGATATAATTATTGAAAATAGCAAAATTCAAATTATTCAACTATTTCATCCCTCCTGGTCTTGAGTATGTTGCCATATATTTCTTTCTACTTTCTCATCAAGTTCCTGTATTCAGAAGACACTAGTTTATCCACCTTCCTACCCACAAAATCTAGTTGTTGAAAACAAAATCTATGTTTTTGATCAAAAGAAATGATCGTTTCCCAAAAGAGGAAAAATTAAAGGTTGCATATAAGCATGCGAACATTTAATATAATTCTAGTCCCACTAAATATTGTATTTGTGATTTATACAAACAATTTTCAGGCCAGTCAGATGGTGTGGTGGTTAAAACACCTAGATCCTCAGGGACTAGCAGATGGCATAGTGGTTACATTGCTGGACTCCCACATGGTCAGCTGTGGTTCAAGTCCTAAACCTGGTGGCTTGGAAATCACACTGGGCGTGTGCGCCCAAGAACCCAGGAGGAGAATGGAGAAGGGATTGTGGTGTGGCCATCCCCACTGGGGGATGAATTCTCATATTCCTTTTTACTGATTCTGTCTGGGAAGTGCATGTACCCTATGGGAGAAACCTTTAAAAAACCCTAATAAACAAACAAACAAAAAATCTGGATCCCACATGGCCAATTGCATGGTTTGAACTCCAGTCCTGGCAGACTGAAAGACACACTGTGGCTGTGTATGTGCATTGTGTCCAAAATCCCAGGAGGAGAATGAAGGACAAGGGACTGTGGCATGGTCATCCCCCTGGGGAGTGCTTTCCCATTTCCTCTCTTTCTCTGTCTGTCTCTCCAGCAAGTGTGTGTGCTCTACGGCAAATTAAAAAACAAAAACAAACAAAACCCCCCACAATTTACACCTTTGGATGGTTTACTTAAAGGCAGGAAAGTGGTAAGATTCAAAGTAGTAGACGACATACAGAAGACTCTAGAGAGATTTTTATTTCAATGTGAATGTATCAATATTCTGAGAATTCTAATTAAAATAAGGCAAGGATAGTGATGACTAGAAGATCTATGAAGCTATCTTTTTTTTTTCTTATTCTAATTTTTTAAAAATTTAATTTGCTATAGGGTGTATGCACTTGCTAGAGAAAGAAAGGGAGAGAGACAGTGAGAAAACACCCCCACCCTGAGGGAATAGCCATGCCACAATCTCCTCTCCATTCTCCTCTTCAGATTTTGGGCACATATGCACACATGCCTAGAGTGTCTCTCAGGCTGCTGTGTCTGAGATTCAAACCATAGAGTTGGCCATGTGGGATCTAGCTGTCTTAACTACCATGTCACTAGCTGTCCCTCCTTATCCTAATTTTTAATCAATTCCTTAATCTACTCCTTCCTACAGTCCCTATGGTAGAAATGGAAAGACATTCTCCTGGAGAAGACACTAGCTAAATTACAGTTGTTTAATTTTCTTTACTTAATGACTGACTCAGTATATCTTGTTATGCACTTTATTATGTCATAAAAGCAGTAGTGTACATTTAATGAAAATAATTATGATAATATATTTAAATTAGAATACACCACAGCATTTGGTCTAGAAGAGCTCAAAGAATGTGTCAAAATGCCATACTTACCAGGATTGCAAAGTTGCCAAAAAAGCTTAAGTTCATCTCCACTAGACATCCATAAAAGACTGCTGCATGCTGACTCCGAGATGCCATCAATCAGGTAGACCACTGCAATCCAACCCTCACTTATAGTAATACTGCTGAATGTGGTTTTCTGGCTAGTAAATCTAATTCTTTCCTGCTTACTGATTTTTTTTTTTATAAGAGAATCTAAGTTAGCCATTTTATTCAGCTTCACAAGCAGATACTTTTCTGTTTTGTTAAAAGAATTATTAATGTAATTTAATTTATTATTATTATTGTTAATTTGAGAGACAGAAAAAGTGAGGAAAGCAAGAAAGCAAGCTGCCAGTCTGGGGCTCAAACCACAGTCAGCCATGTGGGATCCCAGTGCCTTAAGCACACCACCACCTGCTGGCCCTCTCTGCTTTCAACTGACATTACCAGAAAGAATTTAAAGACTTCCTTTAAAAAAAAAATACCATAAAAACATAAAAAGCTAGACTACTCTTTCTAGAATATGATGATAATAAAAGCAGGCAGAATTAGAGGTGGTGGAATTGGGATAGACCCCCTCAACAGGGTCTTCACATTATGATCCACTCCCAGCCTTAGCCAAGCCTGACAGGTAAGCATGTGTACTCAGCAGTAACTGTAGTTCAGAAAGGATGGAAGCAGAGATAAAGAAAGAAGAAGGGACCATTTGAAACATGGATATCACACCTTAAAGACAGTAGGTTTGCATCCTTAGCAAGATGCTTGCGTCCCTGACACTTAACCCTCGCTTGTCATTTTTTTCCAGGGCCACAGTGTCCTTTGTGGAGGGTGGGGGGTAAGAGTGTATGGGGCTGCTGTGGCAATGGGCTTTGATTCCGTACAGACCAGTCTTGTTACCCTTTCTTCGATGTATATGAGCATCTTCAACTGGAAGCCTGGAAAGCATCCCCAGGTTAGCCCGCACTTTTGAGTCTTCTTTTTGTTTCCTATTGTTTCCACTGTATTTTAGTAGTTTTTGTTTTAATTGCAAGAGGCTGCATGTGCTCACCAGAAAGATAGGGAGAAAGAAAGCAACTCCCTCAATGGTATGTGGTCCCACTGCAATCCCCTTTCCTCTGTCTCTCCATCCTGACATGATTTGGGGCATATACTCACAAATGCCTGGTGTGTTTCTCAAGTCAATGGAGCTGGGATTTGAACTGCAGTTGGCCATGTTGAATCTGACTCCCTTAATCACTATGTTAAAAGACCAACCCCAGTTTTTTCATTTTTGTTTTCCACTTGTGATTTGACTACTTCAAAATTACTTCTAAACATTTTACACTGACTTGAGTGTGAATTTAGTTAAATCAGTGAAAGATGAATTGAATGCATTTTATTCATGTTATGGAATAGTGGCTAAGTGACACAGTATGTGTGAAATGCTTGGCAGATATAGATGCTAGTCCTTTTCCCTGCCATTAATACAAATGTCTTCATTTTAGCCATTCTAGTGAGAACATATCATCTTGCTTGCAAGTATTTTATTCTCCTCTGCATATTGCACAGCGCCCTGTGAAGGAACAGCCTTGGCAGAGCAGGGAAGTACTCTTTTGTTCTTTCCACAGTCCCTTACTCTCTTCTCTTCCCCTCCATATGTGAGTGTTGGATTTCAAAACTCAGATTGAAGTCTAATATTTTTATAATAATCAAATGGTAATCAGAAATTTGCAGTGAATCTCAAAGCACACTCTGGCAATAGAACTGATAATAATTATCCCAGAGGTGAAGAATATTTAAACATTTTTGCTGACTTGTAAAGTGTAGTACAGTTACAAGCAATGTGGAATTCTTCTGCTGGTCTATTTTGCCCATGGCAGACTCAATCACAGTCTATTTCCCCTAATAATCCACATATTTAGGTCTATTCCAGTAGGAACAAAAGTTAACTATGAAAAATTCACGCTGAGATAATCGATAGACAGAAAGGCACAAGTAAGTGATAGTTGGTATCTAATCTATGCAGATAGCCTTTTAACCCTTCTTAGCATTGCCTGAGTCATGACTAGTGAGAAGTGTGATAAAGTCTATGGGAAAACTTAGACATGGCGCTCAGCCACTGGTGAGATTTGCTAGTGAGAGCAATGCTGTTGAGTTGGCTTATATTTGCTTCTGATTCTATGAGTTATGATGAAAGAGCTTCCTTTCTTTGACATTTATTTGATTTCCATATTACCATCCAACCTGTGAGGTTCACTGAAAGTTTGCTACTTGTCTTTTATTGTTATTTTAAAGTCAATGTGCCCTGGGTTTTTATACAAGTGATTTTATAATAACATACAATCTATAGGATAAAGAAGACCAAGGAGGCATGCACTGTGGTACCACTTCAGGAAAAATCAAAAGGTAAACTGGTTCATACTTTTCCCCCATGTGGCATATACTTATCTTTTTAATTTTTAAAGTTTGTTTGTTTGTTTGTTTACTTCATGAGAGAGATGGAAAGAAGGGCACCCCCAACAGGGTCTTCACATTATGATCCACTCCCAGCCTTAGCCAAGCCTAACAGGTAAGCATGTGTACTCAGCGTATACAGGAAGGTCTTGGGATGTCCGCTGAGGGCCTCCCATGTGGATCTAGCTGTGTTACCTATTACTCCATGACATGATCTGGCCCTATTTTTTTTTTTTAATTTCCTTTCTGTCTATTGATTAAATTGTCTTTATTTTATTAGGACTTCTTTTAAGCTTTGTTTATTTTATAAACTTCGTAGATGTCGAGTTCATCATATACGTACCTTTATAATATCAGGCCCCTGGGATAGGCCATCATCATTTCTCATTTAGGTCATTAAGTAGCCTGCAAACTAGTCTTCTTGTTTAGAGTCTCTGACCTTTGAAATTCTTCAACATTTCAAGAAAAGCCTAAAACTTTGACCTCTAATGACATTACTCCCTTCTCCAAAAACAAGGAACTCCTTCATTACCCACAAATTCACTCTTTGATGTAACATTGAAACTTTTACCATTTTATCCTAAATTCCCCTTTCTAGTTTTATTTTTTAAAACATTTATTGATTTATTTATCTATTTATTTGTTGTGGTTTTCAACCCTCCAGGTCCGGGACTTGAACCGTGGTTGACCATGTGGGAATCCAGGGCCCCAACTACCATACCACCTGCTGGTCCCCTAGCTTTATCTTCTGACTAGTTTTTCTCATCATTTCTGTGAATCTATGGCATCAAACTACAGATACATATCTATAGACCAATAGTTTTTGTACCAAAAAACTATTAAGTTATTCATGTAGCACCAAGTTGTATGAAGTATGAGCTGTCCTTTGAAGCTTTAAAATTAAGCATTGATGTTTGATTAGAAATTTGTTTTGCAAAAGTAGACACCAGAAAGTATATTGAGGTAGGTAAATCACATCCCTTCTTTTGTGTTAGAAATTCATGAGGGCATTGTGCTGCAGGAACCATGGCATGTGGCATAATGCTTATGTCTAGCATTTAAGTTCTGCAAAGAACTCTCAGACATTTCCTGCAGTAATTTTACCCTAAGTTAATGGTAAGGATTTTTGCGTTAGACATCCAAAGTTTTCTATTTTTAGTTATGTTTTATCTTTTGTTGATTATTGTCCAACTCAGGATTTTTCAACAGTTGACAGTATTAGCATTTTGAACTAGAGAATTCTTTGCTGTGGGAGTCTATCCTATATACTGTAGGATAGTTAACAGTATCTATGACTTCCACCCACTAGATGCCAAAGCTATGAAAATCAAAACATGATTCCAGAGGGCTACTAGCCCTGTAGTCTAGTGGTTAAGGAAGCTGGATCCCACATGACCTATCACAGTTTGTATATTGGCCGTGGTATATTGAAAAATACACTAGGTACATGTGGGTACAGCTCAAAATCCCAACAGGAAGGAGAAATGGAAGGAAAGGGGTTGGGTGTGACCATGCCCTATTGAGAGTGCTTTCTCTCTGTTTCTCTTAGGCAAGTGCATGCATCCTCTGACAATTATAAAAGTCTCCAGATATCGGCAGATGTTCCCAAGGCAGCAAAATCACCTCTAACTGAGAACCACTTGTCTATGCATAACATCTTTAGCATTATATTTTACTTGCTAGTTGTCCTTCGGGCTACCAAATAATTCATTCTTTGCCTATGTACAAGAATTATTTCTTTGCCAGTGTATTTATTTTTGATTCTTTAAAATTTTTAAAAATTTATTATTACTATTCTCATAATGTCTTATTTGCTATAGGACACACATACTCACCAGAGACAGACAGAGAGAGACAGTGAGAAAGCAAGCCACCAAATCCGGGACTTGAACCATGGTCAACCATGTGGGACTCCAGTGACTTACTCACCATTCCACCTGATGTCCCCTTATTTTTTTATTTTTTTAAGAGGGATTTTGCTATAGGGCGCCTGTATTTGCTGAAGAGACAGAGACAGAGAAATGGAAAGGAAGAAATCACTCCCCAAGGAGGAATGGCTACACCGCAATCCCTTCTTTTCCATTGTCCAGTCAGGATCTTGAGCACTAACGCACACATGGGTGAGTTTCAAGCTGCCAGGTCCAGGACTCAAACCGTGGTTGACTACATGGGAGTCCAGTGATGTAACCATTATGACATCTACTGGTCCCAGCCCCCTTATTGTTAATTCTTAAAGTCATAGTTGTCTTCTAGTGCATTCATCACTTTGATGACTTTGAACTTATGGAGTAATGGAGTTAATAGAACATCTCCAAACAAACAGTGGAAACTAAAGTGACTAAAGCTTCTATTGACACTGCTGCTAGCAGTCAGAATTAGTAGTAGCTTCTCTCTATGGAAGATCATAGGGTTAAATGTTCATGAACTTTTTCTTGAGATTTTCTTTCTTTGAATTTCCATATACTATAAACAACTTTTATGAACAACAGGCAGCCTAAAATATAAATATAGGGGCCAGCAGGTGGCATGCTGGTTAAGGCACTAGACTCCCACATGGCCAACTGTGGTTCGAGTCCCAGACCTGGCGACCTGGTTTCTCACTTTCTTTCTCTCTCTCTCTCTGTGTGTATCTCTCTGGTGAGCTTGCATGCTCTATAATAAGTTAAAAAAATAATAATGATAAATAAGATTAAATAAATAATTCTTTAAAAAATATATACATGTTAATTAGAACAAAAGTTATTTGGGCCCAAATGTACATTTGCCTGTTTTCTAGTAGGCCAACTTTGTGGCTTTCAGGATGGGTAATGTGTCATAGACCTCTTTATATCCCTGCAGTGCCTGCACCCATTTCTGGAACAAACTGAGTCCTTACTCATACTTATGGAAAATGATTTTCCTTCAAAGTCATACAAGAAGTCAGTTAATTTATTCCTTTACTAAATATTAATTGAGTTTTTACTATGCCAGCTAGTGTTTTAAGTGCTTAGGCTTAGGGTACATCACTGAACAAAACAAAGATTCCTGCCCTGCTGGATCTTACATTTTAGTGAGAGAATAAAGCCAACAAACACTAAGTATAGTAAATAAGCCCATTGTACAGTAGATCAGAGGGTGAGTGAGTTTTGGGCCAGCGGGTGGCATGGTGGTCGGGGCGCTGGACACGTGGCTGATCCAGGACCTGATGGTTTGCTTTCTCACTTTCTCTCTACCTCTCTCTCTGGTCAAGTTAAAATAAATGAATGAATAAATAGAATTGTAAAAAAAGAAGGTAAGTGAGTGCAATAGAAGCCATGACAACAACAAAGAGAGAGCAGAGTAAGGAAAACTGAGAGACAGAGAAGGGGATTTACAGTTTTAAATAGCGTAGCCAGAATAGATTTAATGGAGAGAGTAATATTTGAGCAAAGTCTTGAAAGAAGTGAAAGAGTTAAATTGTTTGCTGGGAGCCAGCAAAGGCTTCGAGGGTGGATGGTGCCTGGTATTGAAACAGTGACATCCAGTGTGGCTAAGTAGTGGAAGATGAGCTAAGGGAGGTAATGGAGCATCTGATCGCGTGGGGACTTAGAAAGGACTTGGAATTTAACTCTGTGACATGAGAAGCCAGTGAATGATTTTAACAAAGGAATGATTTTAATGTGATATAAATTTTTAAAGGATCACTGTGGCAACTGTCATCTCTTTTGCTATATTTTTTAAAAATGACCCTGAGAACGTGGACCTCTGGCTATGATGGAAAAACTTAGACTACTTCTACCAGCAAATAGGACATGAGAGGCTGAGATACTGGAGGAATGCCACGAAGAAGTGAGCCAAAAATGTTGTGAGCCATTTCCCCTCCAGGTGTTCGTGTATTCCCAAGTGATTGTGTACTAGTCAATACTTCAGGAAATCAAACAGAAAACAGCTTCTATAACAGCTAAAAACAGAGCAGATTTCAGTAATTTAGCATTTGCTTTGGAGAAAGTTGGGAGTTTAAGGCCTTCTAAATGGAGCGGACTTGGTAAACACCCCAGGTTTTCAGCTGAAACTCCTAAAGGGCTACCTACACACTGTAAAAAAAGGCATACCAAGATTTGAGTAGCTTTTTTTTTTTTTTTTTTTTGGAGAGATTTTCACTGTAGGGCGCGTGCGCTCGCCAGACAGACAGAGAGAGACATAGAGACAGAAAGCGAGAAATCACCCCCCAGGGGGGATGGTCACGCCGCAATCCCTTCTCCTCCATTCTCCTCTCGGGATCTTGGGCACGCACGCACACGCGCCCGGCGTGAGTTTTAAGCCGCCGGGTCCGGGAAGTGAACCGCGGTCGACTACGGGGGAGTCCAGCGACACAGCCATTATGCTAACTGCTGGTTCCCAAGATTTGAGTAGCTTTAAAGAAATCTCTAACCCAGTCTTGACTTAAAATGGCCTGTCTATCAGAAGAAAAACTCTCTTTGGAGGATTGTAAGATGAAATAGAGCATTATAGATTTTTATATGTAATGTGTAGTATCAAAACTTACCCCAGATATGGGGAAAAAATGACAAAACTAAGAGAAGAAACAGACAACCTACAAATGATTCAAGAGTCTTATTTTGTTTGGGCTGCTATAATAAAATATTTTATACTGGGTTGCTTATAAGCAATAGAAATTTATTTCTGTTAGTGACTTAGTAACAAGATCATGTTTAATTCTAAAGCAAGCTGAGAAATGTGATCTATACTTAGGTAACCAGGTGTTCAGTTAAAATTCTGTTATGGAAAAGGAGTAAAAAGTTCTTTTTCAATTAAACTTTCTAACTTTCTATCATAGATACTTAGACATGTAGTTAATTTTTTGCAATTTGTTCTTATAGCCAAATACTTTGCTAAAGTCTTATATTACTTCTTGTAATTAATATATATGGATTTTTTTGATTGTCTATGTAGACTATCATAATCCATAATCATGTAAATCTCTTTTTTTTTTTGAGAGATTTTTGCTGGGGCCATGCACTCACTAGAGAGACAGAAAGAGAGAAATCACCTCCTGGGAGGGAGGGCCACACCACAATCCTTTCTCCTCCATTCTCCTCTTGGGACTTTGGGCAGGCACACACATGCTCCCAGTATGAGTTTCAAACCACTAGGTCTGGGACTTGAACTGTGGTCGACTACATGGGAGTCCAGTGCCTTAACCACTGCACCATTTGCTAGTCCTGTAAATCATATTTTTTAATTGTCAAAGGATGAATGTGCTAGAGAGAAAAGAGAGAGACCCATCCTCAATAGGGCGTGATCCAGCCACAATCCTTTTTCCTCAATTTCTCATCCCATCTAGATTTGAAGCACAGTAAGCCTCATTGGATCCAGCTCCCAATACACAGCACTTTAACTCCTGTGCCACAGGCCAGTCTAATCATTTGTAGATCATGTCAGTTTTGTTTTTTCCCAAATCTTATCCCTGTGTATGTCTTATCTTACTAAGCTGGCTATAATCACAAATATAGTGCTGAATAGAAATGATTAGTAGCCATTTTGTTTCTGCTTTAAAGGGAATGAATGTATTTAATGTTTCCTAATTAAGAACAATATTTGCTATAGGTTTTGAGTTGATATTCTTAATAAAGTTAAAGAATGTCCCTTTCATTTGCTAAGTTTTTATCTGTTTTTATAAATGCAAGTTGAATTATTTTCAAATAATTTTTTAATTGATTGAGATGATGGTATGACATTTTTATTTGATTTTTTAAAAATTGTTCATGTGTGAGAAAGAGATAGCACCTCCAATAGGGCCTTTATGCCATGATCCAGGGTGAGCCAGGGACCTTCCCCTGTGGGCCAGCCTCACAGAGCATTGTGTTTTACTGCTGTGCCACCATCTGATCCCTGTTTAATTTTTGATGTGAAGAATAGTATACATAGATTTTATAATATTAAGCCACTCTTATATCCCTGAGATGCTGGCCACACGTACATGCTATGATCCAGGCTGTCTGGATCATTCCTGAGATAGGCTCAACTTAGAAATGATTTCTTGTTTCTTTTTTTTTTTTTATTGACATATTTAATTGCATTTTTCTATCTATGTTAGTGAATAACATTTTCACTAATTCTCCTTTTGTTCTGTCCTCATCTGGATTTGGTGTCAGGATTGGAATGGCCTCATGCCAGGGGGCCAGGTGGTTGTGTAGTGGTCAGATGTGATGTTCTGTGAGGCTGACCCACGTGGAAGGGTTCTGAGTTTGTGTCAGGAGATTTCCTTAAGCATGGCAAGCATGCATTTACCTGTGTTCCATGGCGAGGTGAAGTTGAAGGTGGATCACTGCATGAGGACTTTGATGGGGGTGCCATCTCTCTCTCTCTCTTTTTTTTTTTTGCCTCTCTTGCTCATGAAATAAATAAATAATTCACACACACACACACACACACACACACACACACACACACACTTATCTCCATCTATAGGCCTTATGAAGTAAATTGGGGCATATTCCCTCTTTTTCTGTTCTCTGAAGGATGTGACCTAAATTTGGAATGATCGCACCTTCAAAAATCTAATAGAGTTATTTTCTTTCCATTTTTGTTTGTTTGTTTTAGATTTTTGCCATAGGGCACATGTGGTCACTAGAGTGAGACAGAGACAGAGAGAAGGAGAGTAAAAAATCACTCCCCAGGGAGGATGAACATGCAGCAATCCCTTCTCTTTCATTCTTTTCCTTGAATTTTGGGCATGCATCTATGTTTAGTGTGATTTTCAAGCTGCTGGGTCTAGGATTTAAACCACGGTTGGCCATGTGAGAGTCTAGCATCTTAACCATTATGCCATTTACTGCCTTTATTTTTAATTGCTAGAATGTGCATGTGCTTGCCAGAGAGACTTAGAAAGAGAGAGAGAGAGAGAGAGAGAGAGAAGGAAACGACCCCCAATGGGTCATGGTCATGTTTCAATCCCTTCTTTTCCATCTCTCCAATTTGTTGAGATTTGGGGCATGCATATACCTGAAGTATTTTTGAAGCCAATGGGGCTGGGATTCAAATCTCCAGAGGTCATATAGGATCCAGCTCCCTTAACCAGTAGGCCATGGGGCTGGCCTGATAGAATTCATTTGTAAAAATCATTTGAGTTACTTGCTTTCTTTGAGGAAATCTTAATATTAATTCAATAATTTTAATTTTTAGGACTCTTGAGGCATTCTAATTCTTCAGTCAGTTTTGGTAAGTTATATTTTCTACAGAATTTTGTGTTTTGTCTAAATATTAAAATTTAGTGCATAAAGATTAGTCTTTTTATAAAACAAAACAAAATAAAACAAAACAAAATATATTTTTTTAGGCTGTGGGGCCAGCCTGTACAGTTTAGTCTTGGCCCAATCTGTACTTCTGCCACTGTTTTCCTAGGAGTATCTATTTGTGCCTTGTTTCATTTTTCTTAATTAATCTCATCAGAGGCTGGCTGGCTGGCTTTCTCTCTCTCTCTCTCTCTCTTTCTTTCCTTCTTTTTAACTAGTCTTTTCAATGAACAACTTTTGCCTTTTAAGAAAATCCTTTTGGGGACCAGCAAGTGGTGTGGTGGTAAAGGTGCTGGACACTCCCACATGGCCAACCACAGTTCAAGTCCTGGACCTGGGCTTGCTTTCTCACTTTCCTTCTCTCTCTCTGTCTGTCTCTCTGGTCAAATTAAAATAAATGAATGAATTGGGACCAGTAGTTGACATAATGGCTATGTTGCTGGACTCCCACGTAGTTGACCACGGTTCGAGTCCCAGACCTGGTGGCTTAAACTCACACCAGGCGTGTGTTCATGCATGGCCAAGATCCCAATAGAAGAATAGAGGAGGAGGGATTGCGGCATAGCCATCCTCCCTGGGTGGTGATTTCTTGTTTTCTGTCTCTCTCTTTCTGGCGAGCGCACACACCCTATAGCAAAAACCTCTCCAAAAAGAGATAAATAAAAAATAAATTAATGAATAAATAAAATTAAATAAGTATTTTTTCAAAAATCTTTGTTACAAGTATTTTCAACCTCATCGATTTCTCATCTTTCCTATAATATCTTTTTTCTTCTATGTCTTTGGGTTTACTCTGTATCTGTTTATCTTACCCCTAGCTTATACATTTTCAGTCTCCTTTTCTTTCTTTTTCTCTTTTTTAGTTTTTCGTTTTGTTTTGTTTTTGCTATATAGTGTGTGCTCTTACCAGAGAGAGAGAGAGAGAAAGAAAATGAGAAATCAACCTACTGGAGGGGGGAGGGATGGCCACACAGCAAATCCCTTTTCTTCCTGCCTACTCTTGGAATTTTGAGCATGCACACAAATACGCCGGGTGTGATTTTCAAACCTCCAGGTCCTCGGACTTGAACCACATACTCAGTCATGTGGGATTTAGCACCTAAACCTTCATGCCACCAGCTGGTCCCAGTCTCCTTTTCTGAATAGAAAGTCTAGGGTATAAATGCTCCACATACAGCTTTTGCTGCATTACAAGTATTTTAATGTTTATTATGATTTCTTTTTTTTTCTTTCATTTATTTATTTTTACATTTTTTCATAAACATTTACTTTACATAGCAAAAAGTTTTAGCTCATACTCCATAATTCTTGACAGTTTACAAACAACTTTCAAAATTTCAAAATACTGGGAACCAGCAGTTAGCGTAATGGCTACGTCGCTGGACTCCCACGTAGTCGACCGTGGTTCATGTCCCGGACCCGGTGGCTTAAAACTCATGCCGGGCGCGTGTGCGTGCGTGCCCAAGATCCCGAGAGGAGAATGGAGGAGAAGGGATTGCGGCGTGACCATCCCCCCTGGGGGGTGATTTCTCGCTTTCTGTCTCTATGTCTCTCTCTGTCTGTCTGGCGAGCGCACGCGCCCTACAGTGAAAATCTCTCAAAAAAAAATACTGAATTTTAAAGATAATGTTCAAAATATGTCTTATAATTTTGTATAATTCATTATTTCTTTTTTGATTGATGAATAATTTAGGATGTGTGTATTAATTTTTTAAATATTTGAGAATTTTAAATCCATCTTATTATTAATAACTTCCAACTTGACTGCATTTGTTTGTGTGATACTAATTCTTTGAAGTTTTTTTCAGGTTTGCTTAATGCCTGGAACCTGGTTGTTTTGTTTCCAGCGGGTCTTTAAAAGTGTCAGCTTCATTTTATTGCCAAGAACAAGAGTCCTGATATTATTGATGCTCAAACTCTCTCTGAATTTTTGACTTATAGTACATTCACAAATAGAACTAAACAGACAAAAATGACAATCACATTGGAGAACTGAAGACAGTTTTTATTCAAGCACTTGAAACTTTTGGAAAAGAACTTAAATAATATTATTTTAAAACCATATTGGTCAGAATATTGTTTTTAAAACTGTATATTTTTCTAAATAGAAGTATTTATACCTATTGACAATATATAGTGAGTATACGGGAACTTTGAGCTTGATGGATCTGGGTTCAAATCCTGTCTCTGACAGTTACTAAGTATGTGCCCTTGGCAAGTACTTAGCCTCTCTAAATCATCTTTTCAAAACCTGTAATCCAAGATAGTACTAACTGCCACTTCATAGATTGCTGTATGAATGTAAAGGATTTGATAAAGATCATTGATGTTATCTATTATTACTGCTATGACCCTATTAGAGAGATTGGTTCACATTAATTTAGTTAAGTGATTGATTTATTTTATTTTGCAATTTTACTTGACTTAGCATTTATGAGAAATAATTTTTTTTAGTAATAATAATTTTTTTTTTTTTGGAGAGGTTTTCGCTACAGGGCATGTGCACTCGCCAGACAGACAGAGAGAGACATAGAGACAGAAAGCGAGAAATCACCCCACAGGGGGGATGGCCACGCCGCAATCCCTTCTCGCCCTTTCTCCTCTCAGGATCTTGGGCACGCACGCACACGCGCCCGGCGTGAGTTTTAAGCCACCGGGTCCGGGACACGAACCGCGGTTGACTATGTGGGAGTTCAGCGACATAGCCATTATGCTAACTGCTGGTTCCCAATAATTATTTATTTTTAATTTTATTTATTTATTCATTCATTTATTTTAATTTGACCAGAGAGAGGGAGAGAAAGAGAGAGAGGATGTGAGAAAGCAAGCCACCAGGACCAGGACTGGAACCATAGTTAGCCATGTGGGAGTGTCCAGTGCTTTAACCACCATGCCACCTGCTGGTCTCTAAGAATTAATTTTTTAAACAACCATTCATTATTTTATTTTATTAAATATTTATTTATTTATTTATTTATTGACAGAGGATGCACACACTTGCTAGAGAGAGAGAGAAAACATTTTCAATGGGATGTGGTCACACCGTAGTCCTTTTTCCTCCATTACTCCATCCCATCAGGATACTGGGTACACATGCACACATACCTGGCATATTTTACAAGCTACTGGGGCCAGAATTCAAGCTGTAGTCAGCTATGCGGGATCTACTCTCAATGCACAGTTGCTAACCACTACGTTAGAAGGCCAGCCCAATGAAAAGTTATTTTATTTGGAGAAAATAACTTGATAAGCCACTGCGTTCATGACTCTTACCACAGTCAACTACATGGGAGTCCAGCACGTAGCCATTATGCCATCTGCTCATCCCCAAGCTATTTCTTAGTGTTGGGAATGTTCCTAGTCTTCTCTTGTAGCTATTCTGAAATACACAGCAGATTGTTGTTAACAGTAGTCACCCTACTGTGCTATGGAACACTAGAATGCATCCCTCCTCTCTAACCATAAATTTGTACCTGCTCACCAACCTACCCGTAGTCCCCTCTTACCAATCCTTCCCAGCCTCTAGTAATCCCTCTTACACGTTCTGCTTCTGTGAGACCAACTACTTATAGCTTTTACAAATGAGAAAGAACGTGTGATATTTCTCTTTCTGTGCCTGGCTTATTTCATTTAACATAAAGTCCTCCAGTCTTGTCCATGTTGCCATAAATGACAAGATTTTATTCTTTTTTTTTTATAACTCTGTAGCATTCCATCATACATATATATATGTGTGTGTGTGTATATATATATATATATATATATACTGCATTTTCTTTTCTTTTCTTTTTAAGCCAGAGGGCTATATACTCACCAGAGAGAGTCAGAGACAGAGAGAGGAAGAAAGCACCCTCCAATGGGGTGTGATTACTTCAAAATCCCTTCTACTCCATTTTTCCGTCCTGTTGGGATTTGGGGCACCACATGCACATATGCCTGATGTCACATGCACATGTACCTTATGTGTTTTTTAAGCCACCGGGTCTAGAATTTAAACAGTGTGGCTGGCCATGTGGGATCTGGTTCTCTTAACCACTAGGCAATGCAGCTGGCTCATACACCATATTTCCTTTGTTCATTCATCTGTCAATGGACACCTAGGTTCATTCCATATTCGACTATTATGAATAATGCTGCAATAAATATGTGTGTGCAGATATCTCTTCGGCACACTGATTTTCTTTCATTTGGATATATACCCAGTTGTGGGATTGCTAGATCATATAGTAGTTCTATTTCTAGTTTTTTCTTTTTTATGTTTATTTATTTCTTCCATAAGCAAGATAGATAGCTAGAGAAAGAGACAGAGTAAGCACCTCCAACATAATCTTGATGCCACAATCCACTCTACACGAAGCCAGCTCTGAATCACGGACATGTATGTGTCCAGCATATTCAGGGATGTTTCTGGACATGAACCTAGAACCTTCCCCTGTGAGTTAGCTTTGCAGAGCATCATGTCTTACTGCTGCACCACCATCCAGCCCCTATTTGTAGTTTTATGAGAAACCTCCGTACTGTTTTCCATAAGCTATATTTCCATCAGCAGTGTAAAAAAAAGTCCCCTTTTTCCACATCCTCACCATTTTATTTTTACTTTTTTAAAGTTTTTATTATAGGGCATATGTACTCACCAGAAAGAGACAGAGAGAGAGAGAGAGGGAAAGTGAGAAATCACCCCCCAGGGGGATGGCTGTGTTGCAATCCCTTCTCTTCCATTCTCCTCTCAGAATTTTGGGCAGACATTCACATGTGCTCGACTTTCAATTCAAGCTCAGACTCAAACCACATAGCCTGCCTAGTAGGATCCAGCACCTTAAACTCCATGCCACTGCTGGCCCAACATTTCTATTTTTTTTAAAGTTTATTTTTTTCAAAAGTGAGAGAGAGACAGACCCAAACAGGTCTTGGCACCAGGATCCACTCCCCTGCCTTTAGCCAGACCCAGGTCACAAGCAAGTTTGTGCCTAGCATACTCAGGGAAGTCATCAGCCCTGAAGTGGAAACCTTCCAATGTGCGATTGCCTTACAGAATGCCAGGTTGCTGTGCTACCATCTAGCCCCGTCTTAGCCCATTATTGTATTGCTAACAGAAATAACTGAGACTGGGTAAATTGAAGAGAAGAGAAGTATTGACTCACAATTCTGGTATGTGAAAGTCCAAAGGCACAAAATAGCAGAGGGCAGAACCTTGAGCAGAGCAGCTGTCTTTTTTTGTTGTTGTTGTCTGTATTCCTGTGGGTTCTGCCTGCCCCATTTCCTCTCCTTATACACACACCAGAACCTAATCATGGGTGCTCCACCCTAATGACATTATTATACCCAAAGGCCCCACCCTGGGCCACTATAAACGAATTAAGTCTTCACTTAACACCTTTGCAGTACAACCAAGCCGTAACACGTGGACCCTTGGCAGACATCCAACCACTGCCCAAGAAGACCCCGTTGTAAAACATGAACCTTTGAAGGATGAACTATTTTCTGAACTCTAACAGGCCTCTATTTTAATGTTTTGAGGAATCTTCATAGTCTTTTGCAAAATGGCTATGCTAATTTACATTTCTACAACAGTATAATAGTTTTGTTTTCTGCACATTTTTGCAAACATCTGTTACTTTTTTATAATAGCCATTCTTTTTTTTTTGAGTGTTTTTTTTTAAAAGGGCGTGTGTCCCGGCCCTGAAGGGCAGCAGGGGGCGATAGAAACAAGC